CGGTGTGTCATCATTGACCCCTCCACCCCCCCCCCTTCTCCGCCGACGGGAGGCCTTGCCGACAGATGACAGCACAGACAGGAAGTGTCTGATTGGGTTACACTGAACAAACACTGGCAGCTACCTGATGGCTGGATATGGCTTACATCTGTTCCCCACATCAGCGCCGCCAGGGACCCGCGGCCTGTATCACAGCACTTAGCTCCAGGATCTCTGTTCTTCATCTCTCTACCTCTCTCTCCCTCTTTTTCTTGCCTTACTCATGTTGTTTGAGCCCTAACTCTCCTCTTGTCTATTTACTTGCCCCGACTGTGGCCCTGTGTCACTAATCCCCAAGTAAACATATTCAACACCCGGCATGTTTTTTACAGCTATTTGAGCAACTTGTGCACAGTCAATATCAAATCCAAAACATTATTCTACTGCTAAAGAAATAGAATTTGAGGATTACAACAGAGAGGGACAGAGAAAGCACCTTGTCAGTGTGAAATGTATTTTTGATGTAATTTAGCAGATAACTGAGTCGGAGAGTCTCATTTTATTTAATCTAAAAGAAAAGTGAGAAATGTCAATTGAACAAGAAATGATTTTCTGGACTTACCTTCTGCCCTTCTGGCCCTTCGGGCCCCTATAAATGAGAAAAGAGACAGAGAATGGGAGAGAAACAGAACAAAAGAGTCCATGTCAGATGAAATAATATCATTTCCATGGGCCAACACGGTCACAGCAGAGAGGCTGGCAAGATTTGTGGTAGGATTTCATACAGTGAGCACACACCCTTCAGGCAGAACCGAATCACAATCAATCCCTTGTTTTATTCTTTGACAAAAAAGGAAAATCGACTCACTCCGTGCCTTCTTTTCATTGCGCTTCACCATAAACATGAATCTCTAATGAGACCCTGAATAACAGAAACTTATGGTTTTATCTTTTATGTTGATTTCTTTCTTTATTCGTTTTAGCGACTGTAAAAACTTGTCTTGTTTGGCTGTTCTACATTTTAAGACTACAGTTCAACACATAGAGAGGTCCATTACCTAAATGGGCCAATAGTTGGAAAGCCTCACGAATCTAATAAGTTAGACAGGGCAAAAAAGGCGCCATATCCCTCACTGAGATTTAACTCAGTGATAGATGAGTCTGGGAGGACAGTTTCTATTTTCAACCTGCTGTTTACAGTGAAACCAGAGGCCATGTTGGATCCTCAGCCTCCTCCACCAGAACCTGCCTAAAAACAGCAGGACAGCTTTATGACTAAAATGAGAAACCGGGCTGAAAGTTAGTTCCTTCCATGTTGGCTTCCCTTGACTCTAAACTATTGCAGTACCCACAGCAGTTCATCAACACCTTTACGCTTGGCTGTTATGACACCTCATGTTGGCCAACATTTTTCTCACTGTCGGCTCAGGATCTACGGTAAATGGTGCTATTTGGCTCATCACTCTCAGTTGGGTCACGGCCAGGCAGATCTTATGCCCCACAAGCACTCCACAACATCTTTCCAAGCTTTATTCATGTTGATGCAGTATAATGGGCAAAACCTAAGATCTGGTCCCCTGAAGAGTGTATAAGGTTTGTGTGCCTGTATTCAAAAGTAGCCAACGAGGACGCATTCAGGTTGAAATGTTTCACTGTCAGTGCAAATGTTCGTGAAAAGGTTTGTTAGTTTGGTGGTGGCCAACTTATGCCTCGTGGCCAAAGCACCAACAGATGCTTGGCTTAGCAAAAAGAACAATAATAATGACCAATGTTCTGAGAATGAATTCTATCTTTCCATATCTTGTTTAGCTTTTGTTAAAGAAACAAAACTTTTCCATTTACAGAATTAGCCTGTTAAAATCCCTGCAGCAACAAGTTCTCACATTTACAGAAATGGCCCACACAGTTGCAACTCATTTATGGTGCATTCCAACTGCACTTATGACAAAAACCTCAATGAGCAACTTTCATTATCCTAGCCAACCGAGAAAAAGGTTTTCCTCCTGCTTGCCTTTAAAAGCCTTTGTTAGCTATCCTCAGTAGGGTTTGGTAAACATCTTTATGACCCACTAGGTATGTGAGAGCATGTGCCACTTGCCTGAGCGCTAATTATCTTGGCTACATCTGAGAGCACTCAGGAGCTACTGGCTGAAAAGGAGATTTTTCACAAAGTCAAGAGCCCTTAAGGAAGTCCTGCTCTTGGCTCTTTTGTTCCCAACTTTGAACACCGACATTAAAATGAAATAAAACTGACAATAATCCAAAGATCTTAATTTAAAAGGTAGAATAATCTGAACTAAAATAGTATTCATCATGGTAGTACATGCTCAGCATATCGCACCTTAGCTGCCTCATTTAACATTCATAAAAGAAAAGAATCCACAAATGTGCAATGTCAACAGGACGCCTATTGAAGTCGAGCATCCGAGCACAAATACAAAGCGCTGAATGTTTTGGTGCTTTCATTCATGTCTCGGGAATCACAAACAATGAAGCAATTGCCAGGTCAATTCCCACACTCGGTCTGCAGTTGGACCCTCAACCACTTGAAGAACTTGCCTGAGTGTGCATTTCTCCTTCAGCATTAACAAGAAAAATATTTCGGCTGATCAAAGCACAGCAAGGCTACAAGCTGGAGCTTTGGAGGGCAAATGGAAAGTTAAGAGTGTCTGTTCAAAGTTTCTGTTTCACTTATACAATCTTTATAAAGGCTTTGCAATATAATGCTGCTGTTTACATTAAATTAAGGTACTTTCAGCTTTAAAAGGAAAATTATGTTTTTGACACCCTGGGTCTTATTGTCTTAAGTTTGGCCAATGTAGTTGTAGGTTAGCATAACATTGTGTTCAACACCATCACTGTAGAGATCGTGGACATGTGTGCTTTATTTAAACTGTGTACATGACTTTTCATTCTGTAAGGCCTTTCAATCACACAAGCTTTACTGCTACTGCCACTGTGGACAAAACAGCAGCTAGCAAGAACATAGAGGCCATGTAATCAACTTAGAGTTTTAAGTAAGAAGTAGCTTTGAAAATAAATTTGTAATGAAAGTTATACATTTTAGTCTTCACCTTAATTCATTCTGATATATTTCAGACTCAATGTTTTTAAAATCATCTAAACTAAAGCAGTGTTATTAGGATTTTGAGTCTGGTGGCTCGTAAAAGGGGTTCGTCTGGTGATTCTTCTAGGGAAACTTGGACTAACCCATTAATTAATCTACTAATCTTAATTATATTCTTGATTCATTGTTTGGTCTATTTCTAAAACCCAAATATAAAACAAAGAAACGCATAAAGTCCTTACATTGGAGAAACTGACACAGAAGAGTGGATTTAGGTTTTGGTGGAAAAGAAAAGACGTTCTGTTGATTATGAATGAATAGTCAATAGGCTGAATAATCACAAGTGAAGAGCTGCTTTGCAACAGATTTAGTTACTAGCTACTTTACATCTACTGTTCCTGGGCAGTAAACACAACCAATGATGTCAGTATTTCTAAAATCCTGATTACGGCCATCCCTGTAGATATACTGACAACAAAAAGACCCAGGTTGTAAAAATAAAATAAAAAACAGATCTGTTCCGCAGAAAAATATTTTTGCCCATTGATGTTGACATTTTCCACAGAATTGTTTGAGTCCACCAAGCATGCCCCAAGCCATTTACTCACATCTTTGCTCCTCATGTTTGGCTTCACATTAAAAGGAAACTTAGTCAAGGACACCGACATATTATAGGTATGTCCTCATTATACAGGCATATTAAGTAAGTTAGATCCCTACATGCATGGCTGTTGTGTATTTAAAAAATGTCTAAGGTGAGTCACTGGTGCATTGTGGGAAGCTATGGAATGAACAGGACGTAAAGGGGAGCGGCAAACTTCTGCAGCATAATTGGAAATAACACCAAAAAGCAGATGGAGGAGGTTTTTTCAGTTACGGATGGAACACCACATACAATATACCACTGGTTTTCCATATTAAGTCTTTTTGAAGCAAAATCAAGCCCCAAATGAAAACTGTGTGCAAGGCTGCAAGCCACCTTTAGAGAGCTGAAGACCCCCTTAATTTACCCCAGAGAGACCTTATGGCACTGATGATTTTGAATTGAGTCCTGAAAATATTTCCTTTTTCTTCTTCTTCCCACCTCCCCCCTCCTCCTTGTTGCTCCACAAGAGCCTAATCCTTCTAACCAGCACCATATGTCCTGGAAGGCTGCTGGAAAACTCTGGAATCTACTTTCGCCTCTTTAACAATAGCATCTACATCAAAAACGCTGAGCTGTGTGTCAAGTGGGCGCTAGCTCCTAGAGAACCGTAAAAGATGCAAAAGTTGGTGAAGGACCGACCTCAAAATCCCCACCTCGAGTTGACTTGTGCAGATCTAAAAGTGCCAATCAAAGATTATGCTTTCTGCTCGCTGCACAAAGTGGAGCCTATCGGTCTAGTTGCTTATGCACATCTAATTCATATTGATTTTCAAAGGCCAATCAAGGGTGTGGACTGGGGTTGTTTTTCTGGATTGAGAATTTCTCTTTATTCCCTCTCCAGAGGTTTAACAACTAAAATGATCATTTACAGAAACATTTCTCTCTAATCCATTATCTTATCTTTGCTGTTGGCTGAAAACAGAAGCTCTGAAACGGCAACTGCAGTGTGTTTGAGCGGCCATGTCACATCTTTTTACAACCTCTGGGACATGCTCATCTCACTCTGCTTTACGGTGGGGATTGATTTCCAAATGATCACATTATTCCTTGTTAAAAGTACATTAGTGTCATGCTGTGTATGTACTTGTGAAATAGTATGCCTTATTTCAAGAATTACAGTGAGCAGCGCTTATTTTTTATTCAAAGATCTGTGCGAGGCCTCTGAGCTCATTTTGAATGGGATTCACCATTCATCTCTTGGAGAAATACTCCAGCTGCTGTCATGAGTGGTTGTGTAAGCACTGGAGAGTTATGGGAGCACACCTGGGATCACTGGGAAATCTATTGCAATTTTTACATTCATGACACTATAAATTTCAAACAAAGCTGTTCTGCTTGCTTACACAGCTATGAGTATGAGCACAAGGGGGGATAATGAGTAAAACATATTAAAGCGAACAAAAGCTGAAAACTCCAGCAACATAAAAGCAGACAGAGACTGGTGTGTTCAATGACCGAAAAATGATTAGCAATTTTAGCTTTAAACTCCTCTTACTCTCTAGTTAATGTGTGTCTCTCACTACTTAAGCTTCGCAATCTTTGCTTTTTCTGTCCATTTCTTTCCAAACAATCCAGCAACTTTTTCCACACCCTGGCAAAGGTCTGAGGAGATGGAATCGGAGATGAAAGGGCTTGATAGCACCTCCTCTGTCAGCTTCACTTACTCTCCCCTGCACTTGTGAAAACTGACATCATCAAGTGTTTTCACATGTCATGTTTTCCGTCCTTCCTTTCTCTGGAATTTGGCTTGACCTATTCAATGCAGCTTTTATGAGCAAACATTAATCAAATGCTTTATTTGCCGTACACCACAAGTGGTATCCAGTTGCTGTTAACTGAAATAGCTTGAGCCTACTGTATAAAGAAGTTTGTGAGAGAAAGCAAACGTTTTTGCAGGGTATCATAAAATGTGTCATTAATATTGACCATTGTACCCATACACCACCTCATAAATATCTCATAAATTAAATGTAAATTTAAAAAACAACAAAATGGCAGTATAACTACATGATTGCTTTGTTGATTAAACTCTGTGGAAGAGCAAATTTGAAATAGATTTTTGAGAGTGCCACATTTGATTCTGCATCCAGGAAAAACAAATGACAAGACATATTTTTACCAAAATAGAACACTGTCAAAGCAAGTTTATCAGTGTAACAAAGGCAGTCAGTCAGAGAAGACTAATATGGCAAAACAGTTTTATAAAGTTGAGGATATTTATTATTAAATTATTATTAAAAAAAGGATAATAAGCTGGGTTAGATGGGAAGATACTGTTCTCATGTCTGTATGGTAAAAGCTAACTTCAACAGGCAGTCAGCTTAGCTTAGTATAAAATCTGGAAACAGCTAGCCTGGTTTTGTCCAAAGGTAACAACATCTGCCTACCAGCAACTCTAAAGCTCACTAACTAACACTCATTTGTTTCATCTGGACAAAAACCCAAGTGTAAAAACAACACGCAGTGGTTTTATACAGAGTTAAGTGCCAAACTATTTCCTGGACTGCTGCAGTAACCTCGTGAAGTTTTGTCTTCGCCCTTAAGGTAGCCAGGCAACCGGGGTCTTTGGTCTTTGTGCTAAGCTAAGCTAACGAGTTGTAGCTTCATATTTACCCGATAGGTATGAGAGTGGTATTGATCTTTTCATCTTACTTTCAGCAAGAAAAAATGCCAAACTATTCCTTTAAACAATGCTAAATGCAGTGATGCTAAATTGTCAAAGGAAAGGATTGTGCTTACCATGGGTCCTAAATCTCCAGGCTGCCCTGGATCACCCTATAGTAAATACAAAACAGCCAGTTAATAGAAGAGCAGTAGGCCAAGTCTTCTCAGAAAAGTTAAGAGCATGCATGGGATTTTAAAATGAGTATTCTCAGTGAAACAAGTCAAACATTCTGGTGAAAAATACTGTATTTACCACATTATGGTTGAATTCCCCATTTCTTTTAGTGTTTGTCCACTATGGTGCATTGGGGCCAGGTTGCCAAGCAGAGCTTAGCATTGTTCTGCTCATATACCAAGTTGGCTGGGAGGCATTTATCATGCTGTGGCACCTGTACCCTCCACTGTCTGTCCAACAACCTTGTTCTACTCTGTGCTTTCAGTTCAGGCCTGGCTCTTGGATGTTCCTGCAGTTCTCAGGGCAGAAAAAAGACCTATGCCATGGCCAGATTTTTATGCCAAGGCCATGCCTGAACATTATTCCATTTTTGCCTCTTTGTGACATTTACAGGACAATTTTTGCCACCCTGCTTCTGGGTGATTCATGGCAGGAGAAATAAATCATGAGAGAAATAGCGCCCAGTAAGAGAAATGTAATTTCTCGGAAAAAACTACAGTAACTGCAACTGGAAGAACTGAAAACAATAATCATGAAAAACTTGGAAAGAAGCAGATAAACAACACTTAATATTTTTGCACTCCCACTGTGAACTCTGCCAAGACAATAAAGATCAGCTGGAGCCCCTTGGAAGGTTTTATGGCTTAATGTAATTGACAGGCCTTTTCTGTTTCTTCTTTCTCTCACAAGCAGAGTTCACATAAATTAGTGTGATGCCAGTGACAGGCTTACATACATGGAAAATGTTATGTTATAATGAAAAACAACCAAGTAAATGTAAATCCATACAGTAAAGCACTCTCTTGGGAGCATATTCATGTTTAGCTAAAGACATTAGGGCAATGAACTGCAACGTAGCTTGTCTAGTCTTCATTAGAAAGGTTTTCATTTGGGATAAACCCTCCCGGCACAGAGTCAAAGCAAAATTTAATTGAAAATTGAAATGAGTACAAAAAGACCTGAACTTGTTTTACTCTTATCCACAGAATTGTACTGATCCAACGCCATTTTAATATTACACTGACTGCAGAAGAAAGTCTTTATTAAGCTGAATTAAACTTGCTCAAATGGCAGGTGAAAATCAGTACTCACTGGTAGACCAGGTACACCTCTGGGCCCATCTTTCCCAGTGTCCCCTGGAGGTCCCCTTGGCCCAGGAGGGCCCGGTGGCCCTGGAGGCCCAGGTGGTCCTGCTTGCCCTTGATCTCCCTGTGTGGCAAAACAACACATTTAAACATCATTAATCTGTGATATCTTTGGATCTACTGATACTGGAGTCTCTGCAGTTAAATAATAATGAAGAGAGAGTAGTAGAATGATCTTGTGGGTGGCTATGGGCTGCCTCCATTCATAACATGAAGGAGAGTTCGCATTTTAGGTCTTACGGCTAAAGCTAGCGCACAGCAGAAGCTGGAGCTGTATTGTATCTGATTTATAGTTGAAACAGTAATCCCCTAAAATGCATCCATTCCTAAATGGACTTAATGAGTGGGTGCATTAGGCACTGACTAATAAAAAGTCACATTTTAGAGCTACAATAATCAGGGAGAAAATATCCTTAAAATGTGTGGTCCATTATCATACTGGATTATAAAAAAGTAAAAGAAAATATTCAGCAATCTTACTTGCAGGGAATGTGCTTTAAGTAATGCCAGGACAGTCAGTAATTCATTTTACCTTAATAAAACCTTGTTTTCTAAAAAGAAATTTCCTTTTAACCATAACAGAAGGAGTATAGGAGTACTTATGACAGGTCTGTCTGAAGGCTTGCATGCAAACTGCAGAATGCCCAGAGAGAAGTGATTAGGTGAGACTTGGCACGATGGACAGAGAGAAGAGGACACAGCCACTACCTTAATGAGCCGCCGCTTTATGAGCTGCTGGTCAGCGGAAAGAAAGCCATGATTGATCTTAGGGAAGACCATCTGAGCAGGTGTGTGAGGTCAAGGGGTCGTAGGTCAGAGGTGAGAGAAGGTTGAAGGAGGATGAGGTCCCAGAAGAAGAAGAAGGAGGAGGAAGGCAAATGCAAAAAGAAACAGATTTTGTTAGAAAGGCTTGTGTTCATGAACCCTGGTCCAGCGCCTTCACAGATGGGGGGAGAAATCCACACTTTTCCAGCACGGAGGTGGTTTGCTTCGGAAGTCTGGGATTTTTTTTGGAGCCATGGCCCATAATTACCACCTCAGGGGTGCGAGGGCGCCACAGCGGGCTCACAGTTCCCGGGAAAATGGGAATTTCTCCTCCTCTGTGAAAGCACTGTCATCATCTTCATAGCGCCTGCTGCTAAGTCAGACCCTGGGAGCTGCACACACTGGAACCAGCATGCTTGACCTTCTGAGTTGAGGTTGATTTCTAAACTTGTTTCTTTCAATGCATACATTATTCTGCTAGTGTCCATTGGTATTAAGTGGCTTCATCCATCGCTTAAACAATCCTCGAGGCCAAATTGATGGATTGAAGGATTAGTGGTGCACCATGGGCATGAGGTTAAAAAAAACATTTAGCCACTTTGGTTCATCATCATATTCCTCTTGGAGTTCCTTCCATTTATTTTAGCATCAATGGACACAAGCCAGACCATGTCTTGGTTTCAGAATAATAACTCTTGTTCCAGTCAGCTGTATATTACTGGGTTGTAAAAGGCCACCTTTGCTTTCAATGGCGAACCTGGCATGTAGCATGCAACCATAATCTCGGGTGAAAGACTGGTAGCGGTGGGGGGATAAGGATAACGATTGACTGGCTGTGATTAATTAGATGGGATTTTTCCTGTGCCTAGTCTATCATCGGGCTTTGAGAAAAAGCAGCCGACAGTGATTCATTTACTCCCAGTGTGTGCTACGGAGGGGTCGGACTAAGCAGCTAGGCAGCACCACCACCGACAAACCTTGACAGTCAGGATCTGATTGCTGTGCAAAGCAGCCAGCGTAGGGAGACCAGGCAATCCCTAAAGGGACAAACAGCAGAACATGGCACAACACACGCATGACATTCAAACACTGGGTGAACAAAAACAGTTAAAGGAGGAAGAAGATAAGCATCCTACTTCTAAATATTCTTATAAATTTGTGAAATAATCTCTATAATATGTGAAATACTGCAATGTGTATTTGAAGGTTTTTCTTAAAAGTATCAAAAGTCTAGATCAGTTCGAATGTCAAACAATTAGTTTTGAGGACCAGAAATTTCAATTCAGACCTAAACAACACAAACATTCTCCATTTAACAAGTCCAAGTTTACTCTCTGCCATCAAACAGTGTGTATGGGTGTATCCTACAGTGTCATAGCCAAGTAACCATTTCCTGTTGTTTTCTTCCAAATATACAGACAGAACATTTGTTGAGATGATTATCATAGAGCAGACTTTGAGCTATAACATGCCGGTAAATTAAGGAGCTGTGTTGTTCATAGAGTTTCAGGGAACATAAAGGGGTTGTGATGTTCGCTGGAAATTCAATCAAATGGTTTCCAATTCCCTTGTCAACAATCATCATGACAGATGTGATCCACTCATGAAAACTGAATAAAGGAAGAAAGCATCGGGCCCCCTCCTTGTTAAAAAGAAGACAAGGGTTTATAGTTGGATGCTAACTTTTATCTGAAGCCAGAAACACTGACATATCATCAGCTAAACATGATTTTGAATGTTATCCTCAAATAAATGCCCGCCATAAAGTTTCAATCACTATCATTAATCATTCTTTTTGGGGATGTTGTGCATACTTAGAAATATACTGTACACATTTATTTCATTGCACTCCTGTCAAACAAGGTCTTTGACAGTGAGGAGTCTTTAACAGCCATAATGCATTGTGAACTCAAACATGACCTGACCATTTGCTGAACCCATCCCCCAATGAGCCATTATCTAATCGCAGCGTAGTAACCATAAGTAGACGCACAGGTTTTCTCAACAAAGCTGAAGTGGTATTCATGAGGCTGTATTATACTTGGCTTTTGAAGAGTTTAAAGGGTTTTGTCTTTTTTTCCAGGCCTTTCTGAGACTAAAAACACAACAACAAAAGTGTAAGGAAGGGATTTTATGGGCCTGCTCTAACATAAGCACTATTGTCAGCCTTTCTGGCTTACCAAGTGTACTACTTACTGCAGTAGCCATGCTTCTTGCAAAGCCAAGGGGCATATCATTAACTAATTATATTAATTTATAGGGTTAAGTTTAGCTTATGTTAAAAAACAATTTGCGACTAGCACATTCACTGTGTAGTATTTCTGCACTGTTTGGAGGCGGATCCTGGATACTATTAAAGTTTAACATAAACAACTCTGTCCTGCTCTTTATTTGATTTGAGGACATTTACACTCCAGTAACCCTGGCCAATTTTGCCTGAGATAGCGTCACATTTGCCAAACCCATCGGTCCATTCCCCTCTTAAAAAACCTGACACAGTAACTAATGGGGGTGGGACTTTTTAACTTTAATGCTAAGTGTGCAGAAGACATGCAAATATTGTACCACATTGGTTTTTACAGTGATTGCATATTCCTTTGTTTATCTTTATGCTGCAGGTTTTGCTCCACAGTAAATATCCAACCTGAATGAACTGATGAAAGTATTTCTCAAAGACTGGCACACTAGCATAAACATGTCCTGTAAGAGTTTAATCTTCCTCTATCTTCAAGTTTAAGATAAAATCTGGCCTATCCAAACATGGCTTTGGTGCCATCCCTCTGGTTTTCCAAAGATAATTCAAAAAGCATGGCTCATTAAGAATATGGCTTTCAAGGCAGGCAGATTTAATTCAGCCCTGCAGCAGAACAGAGCAATGGATACTCTTACACTGCAGACAATAGCCATGCTGTGTGTAACTGCGATTGAAGCGCAAATATTTCTCAAGTTATTTACAACCTCAAACATCTTGAGCACAAAGAAGGAAAACAAGTACTGGATCATGGTCGGGGGAACGGACAATACAAGAAGCCCAGGCATGAAAATGTAGTGTATAGGCTGGCACGTGTGACTGTTTTCTAGCCTTTTTTGCTTTTACAATCATTTTGATACACAATGCTAAGGGAGACTGACCTCACTGACCAATGTGTGTTTAAATTGTGTAAAAAAAAAAAAGAAATGATTATCTGAACAAAACCCAGTAGTTTGTAGTCCCTCTCTGCAGGAGATGAGATAAAAGGAGCTTGACCAAGTGTGGGTTAGTGTTAACCCCGCATTGCCAGTGTGCTGATGTCTATGTGTGAGAATGATAATGACATGGCGGTTGACAGAGAATCCTAACCAGTCACAGATTGCTTTGTTTTGCTTTTCTCCTCCAAAACGGATGTTGGTTATTTGGTGAGGAGCTCTATTGCTATGTATTTGCCTGCAGCAAGATGACTGCAACTGTAGTAAACAAAAAGCCAGATACGAGGACAATCAGCAACAGCCGTCATAGGACACTGGCCAGAAACAGCATCTCCTCGACCACACCAAACACACAAAACATCCCAAGCAAATGCAGGCTGTGGCATTTTTTGAATATCTATATGTGGAGTGGATTACCAGTTCTGTGCACAGATGGCTTTAATACATTTAAGAGAGGAATAATACATTCATTTGAAGCCTCAGATTTGGCATCAATCTGATACACATCACATTTATCTCAAGTAAAATTTGTTTTAAGGCGTCTGATTTCATGTGCAAACAGTGGACTGTAAAACTCTTCTTTGTTCGCGACTGAAAAGTAAAATCCTGGAATTTACAAGGTCTTTATTTTGGAAGAACATTGCAAATTGGTTAAATCCCAAGATGTGAGAAGTGAAGTACTGGACAAACAAGGACAGATTCTTGGTGAAATCTCAGGAATTTTTCCTCTAACTGGCCCAGGAATTCACCAACCTTTGCTCGACACCTGCAGCTAGTGCCATCCGTCAAAAAGACCACACACCTTTCTTGGTGATACATTTAACCAGTAACTCAAGTTAATTATATCCTACCAGTGGAGCTCGACTGGTGGCCACACATTTGTTTGTCAAAAATGGCCAATTTATTATTTGTTGTTTGGTTAACCTTTTAGCGTTTGGATGTGGCCTTTGACCTTTAGAGCCGACAAATGGCTGACCCTGACATGTGGGGAACAGGCAGAGGAAGTGTATGTCTGTGAGGAAATTCTGCCGGCCATGTGGCAATTCTCACACCGTCTTTGGCCACAAAGGCTCAGGAGTTTTCATTGGACCCTTTGATTTGATCCTAGAAGACATACACATATTATGCATGCAAACAAAAACTATAAACAGTTAAATCATTCTAAATTCAAATCTGTTTGGATTGGATGTAATCTGGTAGACTGTAATGTGTGAAGGACATATTCTTGACATGCTCTGTTGTTTACATGTACCTCCATATGGGTTTAACAGCCATTCTGCACACAGTCATTACTGGGAATTAAATGAGCTTCATTTCCAGCCATATAAATAAAAAAAAGGTCATGCAGCACTTGTCCTGTTATGCCTTCATTTATTAAGGAAATCTCCCTCATACTGTTCCACTACATTTACCTACTAATCTAATGTGCAAAGTCAATATGCCATTCTGGGGAGGTAATGTGACCTCATGTGCTTTTGTGCCCCGTAGTCCTTCATATGTGACTGTGTGCTAATTTGTACCTGTTAGGGGACAATTTTGCTGTAATTGGAAGTTAATGAAATGCCATCTTGAAGTGGACAGTTTATTTATTTACTCTACAAGACAAATATGGCCTGACTGGGCCCTGGTACCACTCTGTCAGCCGCACTTCTGTTTCCAAAGCGTAAATCATGTAACTGATAGAGACAGATGACTTTCCTAGGTTAAAAGGGTACAAATATGGTCAAAACCCACGAAACTCTCCCCAAACGGCGATACAGTGCTTCAGCCTTTGCAACTATAATGATTATCCAATACTTTTTATATCATTAAATTTTAACAAAGGATATCACAGAGCTATTTGTAGATCTTGTGAAAGATCCACAATTGCTGTGAACTTGTCATTTGAGGAGTGCCTGTGAGTAACATAAGATGTATCATTTTGAGACCACTAATCAAATTTCACTGGGAAGGTCATTTGTATTGACTTTCAAATCATAAGAAACAGGGTGCTTTGACATGCAGAACTGGCCCGGAGGAGAGATGACAAAGTTAATTGGCAAAGTACAAACGTCTGGGTGGGCGCCAATACAGAATTGGGATCAGATCCACTTGGGAGATGGCTGGTGTTCTGGTGACAAGACAAACCTCTGCGTTGTTGTGTTCTCCTTGTCCTTGTGCTCTAACCTCTATGTGCTCTTTGCCCTCATGGAAACCAATTACATGCATTTAAAGTGGCTTTGACTCCATATGATCTACCCCTGATGATGACAGCAGATACAGATGGAGGGATACAGAAAATAAGCGAAAAGTGTGTGTATGCATGTCCACATTTGCCCCCCGGTTAATGTAATCTACTTTAAACAAACCTGTGCAGTCACAGTCTGTTTTGTTCAAAGAGGGCTCATTTTTTGACCATTATTTGAGAAAAATGAGGGCGCGCTGGCTGCACGTTGGAGATAGAGTAATTCATTTTAGAGTCTGTCAAGCACGGAAAAGCACTCACATCATCATCATTTAGAAGCTGCACTTCTATAGAAATGTCAAACTACAGAGCTGGAAATGATTAAAGCTCTGAATACGCCATGTCACGTTGAGTATTGAAGTGAATCACGAGTAATTATGGAGACAGAGCTGGTTGGCTTTTGATTATAGCCGAGATTGAGCAGATATCTTGTGCGGATGTGCAAAAGCTTGTACTCATGTTCAATTGAAGACGAGAGGTAAAAAAGCGTTTTGAGAAGTATACCACGGCGTGCTTTCTGAAGTATCTTGCACATTTGTCTGTCTATTCTTGATGTAGAAATAAGCAGTGCTGAAATGCTTGTTTTATTTGGCCAGATGGGGAAGAACACTATCCCAGGAATTTCATGCATCTCAAACCTTTTGCCCACAATTCTGCTGGGGGAGACAAGCACAGTCACATTCATCAGCTAATCACAAGAAGTTGGAGTTAAACTGCATACCCGTGGTCCCTGGTCGCCTTGATCCCCCTGTGGAAGGCAAGAAAAAAAAATTGTCTTGAAATGCAAGGGTCGAACACATACTGAACACACACTGAATGCACACACACAGACGCAAGTACGGTGCTAATACTCACACCGAAATCACTGAGGCATAACTCAGAACACATTGATAAAGAAAAATAATACAGGAACCCTCAACTATTCATTGTGGTTGAAAGTAAAATCACTTATGATAACATGGACTGACATGAATTGAGTATGAGAGAAAGAGAAAGAAAGAGCAGTGGTGTGAGGTTTGGTGGGTTTGGTAAGGGGGGCTGAATGTGGGTGAACTGCATTGCCAGGCCAGATTTTATGCCCCAGAGATGTTTGGCTTTCTGCCTTCTTTGGGGGTAGATCTCTGCGGACGGAGTGCGTTCCTGAAGGGGAAAACGTTTGGTTTCGAATCAACCTGTGTGTAGAAGACTGTGGGTTTATCACATTAGACTGAAACCGTACCAAAAGTACACTTTTGTTTAAAGCAACTGAAGGACGACCATATGTTGGACACTGAATTATAACCCTAATCTGTCTAGAATCGGATAACTGAACACGCTTAAACCATCTCATTTGATGCTCCCCGCTCTCCTGTTGGCTGAATTACAATTGCGCCACAGCAGTAAAATGAGCCGAACAACTTATCACACATGGATGGGAATTTTGCTCAAACAAACTTCAATGTAATGCCTCAGCAATTTCAAATAAAACAGCTCTTGGAATTTTTGTAATTTTTCATTGGGCAGTCGTTCCAAAACCGGATTTAATGGGAAAACAGTTGTGAATGGCCACACTGATGCACGCTGTATTCGTCTTGGGTGGGAGGAATGTACACAGTTGTTTTTAATTTCATTAAACTGCAGACGAAGTGGTTCACATGAGAGTCTGAACATGCATCTAATCAGCGAGACTCAGTTATTCCCAATTGTCATAATGGATGCTCGACAATCATCCAAATCTGGTTTTGTAAGTCATGCGTATGGGTTCTATTTTCTTCTTTAAGGGACGCAAAATGAGAAATCACACTGTTGATTCATGACATCGGTCAGCGACAATAATCAATGTCATTCCACACTCCACATTACTCGAAATCATCAGTTACCAAAGAGTGTGACTTGATGCAGATGACAACTGTTTCTCTGTATTTGACTTTACCTCTGGTTAGCACTCTCACGCGATTTCATTTTATGTCTTTTATTTTACAGCACAGTAATCCTTATAACATAAACACTTCCCAAGTTGTTGCTCACTTCATATAAAATATGAATACATACTTAATCTATTCATTGCTGGTGTGTAAAACATATCTTCCCCAGAATCATTTTAGAAGTATGCACTTTCAGTCATTTGTTTCCATTACAAGTGAATTCAGGGACTTTATCAATTTTGGTGTGAATCAAGGGATCTTGTGGTTTTCAAAGCAGACGCACAGGCATACATTTGTCCCCGAGTCCTGCAGACGTATAAAGAGACAGTGTGGTTATTTTGCATGCTCCACTGCTGTTTTATGGAGGAATGCTCAGCGAGGCATTTAAGGGCTTCAACTTGGGCTCTGGCTTTCAGTCATTAATGTCCTGTGCTGTGGATTTGTGAACAACGGGAGAATTTAAATATTCAGACTCCGACACTTAAGGTCAGGATGAAATAATCTGAATTATTGCTGCAGATGCAAAATGACACCCCTTATGGACAAATTAACTGTGAGTAGAGCAATAACAAAGATTTGTATTGTCTGACCTGCAAAAATGTATAATGGGCTGGACATTAAAGACTGTGTTTGACATAATTGGAAACAAGAGTATTTGATTTTGAGAAGATTTATACCACTATCATTTCTGTATAGAAAATATGAATCTGGAGCCACCAGCTGTTTAGCTTAGCAAAAAGGTTTTAATAACTTCTTACAGAGCCAGGCTAACTGTTTCCCTCTGCCTCCAGTCTTGGTGGTAAGCTAAACTAACCAGCTGTTTGCTTTAGTTTAGCATTTACATATGAGAGTGGTATCAATCTTTTTATTATCTCTTGGCAAAAAAGCAAATAAGCATGTTAACAAAACGGTTAAACTATTGCTTTAAGCAGCTGAACAAAATATCTAAGCAGATTAACCGTATTTCAATAAATATATCAACGAAAATATAAAATGACTCACCTTTTCACCCTTTGGACCAGGAGGGCCCTACAAAGAGAAGAAAAAGGATTGTTCAAACCCATAAATAGGAAGAGAATGACAAATTATGGCCCATGTATGTTATTTATAAGCATGTTGTTGCCACGGCACACTATCTGGTAAGAGACAATACACTGCAACAACAGCAGGGTGACCAATCATGTTAGCCAAGAAACATACAGAGCTGTTTAACAAGGCTTGAACACTGTGAACTAAGAGGGAGATGGCAACATCAAAAGTTGAACAAATTTTGATGAAACGAACACTGGGAACTTTTTTGACATCTCAGAAATTCATATTTGATTAAAATACCCTGTCACAGTGTGGGAACTGGTACCTTATGCATTGTAGACAGCAGGACTTATTCAAACATACAATTAAAACCAAAAACGGGCCCAAATCAAGTCCATGTTTACTTAGAGGATCAAATCCAGCAATCTCCAACCAAGCATTGGCAAGCACATTGTAAAAAATGTGCCCTGAACAAGAGGAACACTTCTTTTTCACAGCAGTTTTTGTGAGGCAGTTTTTACATCCAACTTCTGTCAATCAGCAGGCAAGGGCTCCTGGGTGGGCTCTGTGAAAGATCATGGGTGAAATAAAGGATTTGACAATGAGGTGTGCATCCATACACTGGAACCTAATGAGCTTGTGCTCAAAAACACTATTTTTAACATTCAAGTTGAAGGATGAAGCCCAGTGTGCTGGGCTCTCTTTCTTCCTCTGAGGTCGCACTTTTGGAAAAAGCGAGCTTAGGAAAAATGAGTATTAGATCAGTGTCAGAGAAGTAACTGACCACCCGCTTCGCACATGAAAACATATCTGTCAAATATATTCGTTCAAAGTACTTCGTTCTGGTTGTTACATGAAGTTGATATTTGAGAACAGATCTGAAACTTCTACAGTCACTTCCAAGGTTGGTGAAATTGTGCATCTCCTCTAACTGTCACATGTGGCCTCAGGTAAGAAGTTGTTTAGCTGTCACCAATACAACACTAGTAACAGCACTGCAGTAGTTACTTTTCCAGGCTAATACTGGTCAAACATGACTTGTTTCTAAAGATATCAGACACCCAGTGAATTGGACACTAATCCATAGATTGATGACATGAGTATGAAACCCGCGTTTGGTCCATGGACTCACCCTGTGAGTCCATGGACCAGTGACCCAGTGACCAGTGACCCAGAATAGCAGGCTTGCAGACACAGACAGGCTTCCACTGCACTGGCACATACAGCACAGTCTAAAACTAAAATGCTCCAGAGGTAGTCCAGCAGTTTTCCTCTGCCAATTTCTACCACACTGCTCTGGGGGAAGTGAGTTGTAGCCTGCTCAGTGCCTATGGATATTATTTTTGATGCATAGTTAACTATCCGTAGCTTTTTGTTTATGCATAGTAGTACATGTGTTCCCAAATGCATCTGCACAAGGCCTAATTTGCCTTGGTCATGAGGTTGTGAACCTGCACAGCAAGCTTTTGAAGTGGTCCAATGTTTTTAAATGTGAGGCAACGGTGTTCGCTTCAACAAGCCCAGACAAAAGCTGATGGGAAATGCAGCATTTATACACACGCATCTAAGGAGGTTGGACCTGCTGCTTACTTGACTGGCGATACAAAGAGCCACAACACACTTGTAAACACAAAATGCGCCATTATGAAAACACTGTTTCCGATTGCAGTTCCCAGGGGGGGAATAACAGAGGCAACATATTGGAATCAAATGTGACTTTTACTTTTATAATGATGTAGAGGATTCCAGAGAGGCTAAATAAGTTTCCAGTATGTTCCTGAAAATGGAAGGCAGCTAAAGAAAATCAGTGCAGGCTTTTTTTGTTGTGAAGGAAAATTGCCTTTGGACAATACAAGGCTATTGACAAGCTGTTACTGCACAGAATGGCTGCAACAAAGAAATACACAAATCTACCCACTGCAGCTTTTTTTGCACAAGCCTGCTAAATGCATTATATCTGGCACTGACAAATACAAATAGTTGGCACACTGAATTACTGGGCTGAATGACTGGGCATCATATGTTTGTGGAAAGAAATAAACTCTGCTTTATATGATCTGGCATTTCAGTTAACCCAGATTGGTTTGTGATAAGTGCAGGAACACAGTAAAACTTGATCACATTCATGCTGAACTTCCATAATAAGCCATGTCTATAATTTGTACGTGTGGAAATTAATAAGGAAAATGGGGTCACAGGTGATTTCTAGTAAATATCCCACACAAATAGGTCGGATTAACCAAGTCAGTGGTTCCCATCCGCCACCATTTATTTCAGCCATTCATTCATTACTTTTAGCTAACGATAACTACTTATCCGCTAACTACTTCAACTTGTTATCTGTTACTTTCAGCGAACTATTCTGTTCATTTATCCATTACTTTAGCTAGCTATTTTAATAATTTATTCATTACTTGTAGTCAACCTTTTATCCTTTTAACTTTGCTTGCCAACTAGTTTTCACATGTGTGTTTTTCCATTGTTACAGTTATCAAAATTGTAATTAAAATTTCTTCCCCCCCCTTAAATTAGTTAAGGTACTCCAAAGTGTTTCTACTTACCCCTCAAGTAACTGCAGATGTACACACAGAGGTCCAAGTAATGAGGGAACTAAGTGATGCTATTAGGCATTTAAGCTTCATATGACTCGTAGCAATGTTTTAGTATTTTGTTTTGAAACATAATTTTTTGATAATCCTATCATGCATGTTAAACTGTATCAGTCACATACATGAGCAGCATTTACTGGTAGATTTGTGTAAGTGGAATGCTGCTTTGACACACCTAACCATATCTTGCCTAAAATCCTTCATTTTACTCTTCCATCTGGTTGTAAAAGCATGTGGAAATGATTTTGCTACACAGCCTGCACCTGCTCATTATACGGCCCATCATTTGCACATCACTTGGACAGACAGCACCCACTGGAGCTTTTCCAAAAGGTTTAAGCCAGTGCAGTGAGGGTCTTTTATAGAGACTATTAAACAGCTCTCCTGCAAAGACTATTTCAAAGGAGCAAACTGTACTACAGTAGAACTGCAGCAGGTGTCTATTTGTCAAGCAGTCTCTGCAGCTTTGTGGTTTCAGTCTGCCCCAAGGAAGGTCTCTAATCAGCACCTGTGTATGCTTTTCACATCTTTTTACAGCTTCTGCTCTGGCTCCTTTTTCAAAAGCAGCCCTCCAGCAGGTGCTTCATGGCTCATCAGGCTGCTTCTGTTTGATCAAACTTGCTCACTTTGCATTTGAAAGTTACTTTCTCGAACATGATTAACCCCCTAGCGTCTTCTACACCTTTATATTCAGACTACACTGGGTTCTTGAATGGCCATATGCATATCTGCAAAATATGTATAATGTTCTTTGAAGGAATAGTTGAACATTTTGGGAAGCAATTCATGTTCTTGCTGAGAGTTAGATGAAAAATTAACAACACTTAAATGTCTGTAAGGTACCTGTGACCACCGGCAGCTGGTTACCTCAGCTTTGCATAGGTATTGGAAAAGAGGGAAACAGCTAGCCTGGCCCTGTCTGAAGGTAACAAAACCCTATTTCTTGGTGAGCCACAGAAACTACCTAAAGTTGTCAGTGTGAGATTGCAAGGCATCCATCCAAATTGCAGGTTTTTGTATAAATTCAACAAATAAGTTGTGATGATTGGTGGGCTTAAGAGGTCCCCCCCATTTCCAGTCTTGATGCTAAGCTAAGCGGCTGCTGGCTGTAGCTTCATATTTACCATACAGAGAGATGTATCAATTTTCTCATGTAACGCTCAGCAAGGAAGTCAAAAGGCCTATATTTCATAAAATGTCCTTTAACAGATTTCTACACAAGAACACTGTTACTCTATACGTGTTGCACTTTGGATTAGGTTGGAAATTAGGTGTGCTGGTGTACAGACACAATATTTCACTGTTACTGTAGGAGCAGGAACAATTATTAGCCAGAAAAAATCTTTAAAGATTAATCCATATAAGTGACTAAAAAATAACAAATATGTCCTTCATATGTGTGGAGATGAACACAATGCAACTGCCCCAAAGCAGAAGCACTATATCCACTTATTGAAAATGACACATCACATTGAGGGTAAGCCTCACATCTTCTGCTGCTTAACACTGGGCAAACTTATGTAAGGCTTCCATCATGAGATGATTTGTAACAGAGCATCCTGTGTGCATGATACTGTCGAGTTTATGGTGGACCACTGGATCAGGATTAAGCTTTTTTCTGTACAGATACATGTCTAGCTTCGCATTCTAAGCCAAACCATGACCACTGTCTCCTGCAACGGCCTGAATGAGCTGTTGGTATGAAAAAAAGTGGAAACCCCTGCCACCTTTAAAACAGTGTGGAAGAAATATGGAGAGGTCTGCAGGGAAATATAAAATGGCAAAGAGAACTGGGGCCAAACCCGCAAGCAACATGAACATTGCCATTCAAATCTGACAATGTAAGTTACTTCATTTCATATAACAAGAAACAAGTAAATGATGTTCAATAAAATTATCTTGGCACAAAGGCACATTTTATATGTGGCTCCTGCAATGCTGATTATTAAGACGTGAACATATTGCACAACTAGATGTTTCATGTTCTGTGTTGGTCTGTCTTTGGTTGTCTGGAGGAAGTAGTGTCAGAATTTATTTATTTTCCATCCTGATTTGCCAGTTACTACTGTACAGTGGATGTTCTGGTTTCTCTAGTTTTCATATTTTATGCTACCTAAATTATTTATATGCTTCTAAGATGCCTCTGTGGCTTTTCATTTGATCAATGATCAAAAACTGTTTTAAGAACTGTTAATAGACCTAATTATCTATTTAGAGATATAATGTATACGTTTCTTCTCAGATTGCACAGGTTAGATGAGATATGTACAGTATGTAACTCTTTTCAGCAATGGGATTAGGTATGGTTGTATGTTATCTCCACTCTTATTTAACTTCCATATGGTTGACTTGTCTGGGCAGTTAAATGCATGGAATTCATGTGACAAA